ACGAATACCTCCCTCGCGTTTCACGCTTGCTCGGAGTTCACTTTTGACTTATCTCTTAATTAATTAAAAGTTATAGTGGGTACATTTCTGCCGACTATCTGCAATCTATGCCATAGCGCCTCGCAGTACACACCAATGATCATCAGAAATATTTTAACATTTATTCAGATACTTAGAAAACGGAAGAAATGTACATAGTATAAACTGCATTACAATCTATTCTAGTCTCATCTGTTTAAGATTGTAGGAAGACTGTTGTTGTTTTGACTACTTTTATTTTTTCAAATATTTTCGTAGAAATTTTCATTTGTACAATCTGGATATATTTGTAAATCTCAGCTTACACCGATATAAGCATAATCTTTCAGATTTACAGTAATTGTCTTTAGATTAAGATACCAGAGATATCTCGTGACGATACGCATTTGTCAATTGGCTCACGATTGCTCGACAAACATTAGTAAGATTAAACGTGGCGGTCATGTCCACTCACCACAAGAATTAGATGCAAATCGCGCGAATTATCATTGAAGCTCGAATCCACGCGTCAACAAATGGCGTTAGTTACTAGTTCGCTAATATTGATGTAGCGTTAATACTTCAAACCGTGATCTATTATTCCATTAAACAAGATTTCACTCGGGGGAGCGTTTAGAAGCGTGCACAATAATTTCTGGCTTGTTCAGTTGCGAGGCACTCTCGCCGCATAAAAGCCCACGAACTTTTCCACGGTGTGCGACCTCCAGTGAATACCTACTGACTCTACCAGGTTAGCTCTCGTAAAACTTTTTCTGAAGCTCGAGTTTAAATTGAAAGTGAGCTCTAAGCGCAAGTAAAATCGTCCTTCACGTTAGACGAATTTCCCAAGTGGGCGCAAAGATAATTCCAAAAATAAGCGTGTCAATGATCCGTGCCGACATTAAATAGGATTTTGGTTGCGAAAATCTAGGACTGGAGATGTTAAAGCCAACTGGAATTCGAAACGTCGAAACTTTCGGCCGCATAGCTCACCGGAACAGCAACATTCAGCTTTCGTGTTCTCCGGAGAATTTAATTGTGTGGAATAACAATTTATTCGTTTATCGTGCCGAGCGAAATCTATCGGAAAAAAGAGAAATAGCAGAATATTTTAAACTTTTATTCCAGAGAACGGAAAGCAAATTTCCGTTCGCTAAATGAAACTTGTCCGGCATTTGTAATGCACGCAATGCGATTATCTAGATATATCTGGAATAATGATTTCATTGCAATTACGGCTTTTATTAAAAACACGTATTGAGTAAAACGGGATTTTAATATATATTAGTTTTTTCAGCAACAGCAAATTCTAAAATCTAAAAATTTCGAAAAATCGCGAATGTTATAAAATAGAATAAAACTTTAATAAAAATTTATATAACGATCACACATTTCTAATTTTTCCTATAATTATACCAGCATACTCTATTAATTAATAAAAAATTTCATAGCTTTATTAAATGTACAATCTGTGTGATTAAAAAGGTACATGTTCATGCATTTCATGAATTTTTAATATTTATGGTTAAGTTTTAATATTTATGTAATAATGTCCAATGTTAAATTAAATATATTAAAAATTAAACGTACAATATAATATTCAATTAAATGTACAATCTGTCCAGTTAACCGACATATTTTTGACGTAATTAATAAATATTTAATAAATATGGGTTTTAAGATTATTAATATTTATGTTAATGTCATGAATTTTTTTTTTACTTTGCTACGTAAACTTGTAGATAAGAAATTGCATTTCTTATCTAATTTAATATTAATTTCTTTATTTTGCTCTCTAGAATTTATGTCAAAATAATTTAAATATTATGAATTCTTAACATGAACAAAATAATTGTTAAATCGTCAAACATATAGCATCTGTAAAATGCAATAACTGTTAAATAGCTTAGATAAATGTATATTTGTAAGAATTGAGTTCTGTTATCATTATACAATATAACGCTCCTGTTCTAGATAGATGGACGAAAAAAATAAAGAATGTTTTTCATTAACGCAGTCAGCAATTTGAAATTTATTTAATTCATTGGATTTAATATGAATAATAATTATGCTATCGAAATAGTTGCTGATTATCTACTTCAAAATTGAAATTTTGGCGAGTCTATTTAAATTTTTTTATAAAACTGATTTAAACAACATCTGATATTTATATTTTTAAACAAAAAGCATGAAATTGCACGGGTAAATATTAAATATGAACATATATATTTTAGTTAAAATTAAAAATAGTGCGAAAGAGATATATACAAATGTCGTTTAAAGGTTGTGTAATTTATATTTTTATTTTTGTATGAAATTTTTTTTGTATAAAATTTAATTTGTACTTTATCGCGTCGTACAAACCATGGAATACATATAAATATTTTATTCGTACTCTGTTATCATTCGTCACGCTATCAACAGTACTAACTCCTCATGTCATGTTTGAGCATTAATTATAACTCATTAGATTATATCTAGGAAACAGCATAAGTAATATGTCGATATACATAATCGATATACATAATTCTTTTGCGTTCATTTCGTCAGGTTATCTCATCATGATTTCGCATCAACTATGATGTTTCGTCGGGGTAATGTATGTTTTTCTTTCCATGTAGTACTTGGTACAGACGAGACTTCAACAGTTCAATTAACTGAAGAATCAGTTGGATTAATGGTCGTATGAAAGAAATACGTTTTCCTGGACTCTGCAAATCTCTCGTGTATTTAATTAGCACGTGCAGCCCGAGTAATAGTTACGCAATTCTTCGAATGGATAAGAGTGTTATGCGAGTTAACGAACGAACGAGCTTAATTCGTTCGTTTATTATGGAATATAATGTAAGGTGTTAATCTTCTCGAAGGAACGATATCTTACGCAATCTGAACTCGTTAACATTCTGTCGTCCATTAAACTTATCTTCTTCTATATTTCGAACTTTGAAAGTACGTTTAAAAATGAAAAGTTTGCATCGAAAAGTATAGTATAATTTAATAGTATAGTCCTTGGGTGTACGTATTCATATCGCAAATTGAAAAGAAAAATCACGATATACATAATATTCATTCATTATCAATTTGTTGTTAACTAATGATTTCAATTGTAAATTATCACATATTATTAGATATAAAACATTTAGCATTTTTTACTTTAATGTAAGACAGTGTCTTTATTTCTTTCCTATTCATAAATTTAAAAGTAGAGTCATTAATTTTTCTTTAACATATAAAATTTGAATCTTATTTGCAAGCTCTTTTTTGTAAAATCTTTTTTGTTCTCCTCAAACACATTTTTGCAAAGAAAAATAATAGAATTCCGTATAAATATCCTTGAAAATGGTATTAAAACGAATTTTGTAAAAATGAAGAACAAAGTTTTTTATCTATTTTTTTTTATCTATTTGTATTTTCGAACATTAATTTATTACAGCTCTTTAATTTTCAAAAATAATTGAAGAACATCAGCACTGTTCGAAAATTTGAACATTGAAACGAGCACTCTTATTTGAAGTTCCAATGTCCATGTTGAAGAAAACTGTCGCGATGTCTACCGATCAGAATAATTTTGAATTATTCCATAGACACGTCGCTGTCAGTAGTTCGCTATGAAAATCGAGGTGTCAACGACATACTTTACCGTTACGAACTACGCGGAATTAGCGGTGCAGCGTCAGCAATTTTCTGTTCCGTACTTTTCTCACGGCGAATGGTACGTTCCTCATTTTCGCTGTGTTTCAGTGGCGTAAATTTATAGTTCGTGCAGCGCAGCACAACGCGACGTCGAGTTTTGCGCTAGCGGGCGCCGATGGCATCCCGCGTAGCTCCGAAATTGTTTTGCACTTTGAAAAGCGTGCGATATCGCGTACGTCCAAGAAATCTGATGCGTTGCACCGAATTGCAAGCCGCTGCGTTGCACGTGCCAGAGCAAACACACCATGTGAAGCCCATGTATTTTTTGTGCAACGCAACTTTCAATGAGTTAGTGGCAAATATATCCATGTACGCGTAACAAAATCTGTCCGCATATTTCGAACGAAATATATTGTAGCATCGGTATTTTTAATTTAGCACTTTATTCGCATCTGTTTTTTTTATTGTTAGATTAATCAATAATTTGTATTATATTCTTGCAAACTTTAAATCGTAAATCGCTCAATATCAAATATTGTTTTTTTCTAAAATTTCAATTTTGTATATATCGATTTGTATTTATCGATTGTATTTATCGATTTTATAATATCAAATGAATATATTGAAATTATCAGACATAATTTTAAAAGTTGAAGTACTGGGTTGTCCAGAAAATTCGTACCGATTTTAAAAGAAAATTAAAACGCAGAAGATTTAAATAATTTTAATTTCATTTATTAAATTTAAATCTTTTGCGGCGCAAACTTTCCAGACAACCAATAAATACTGAAAAAGAAGTGTTTAATTTTAAGATATTAAAATATTTTATTTTGATCTCAAAAATAAAGTATTTTAATATCTTAAAACTAAACACTTCTTTTTCGAATGAGGAGAAGAGGGAAATAAAAAGAAAGATAGAAAAAGAAATTGATACTTGATCATGTTATATCATCGAATTATATCATTATGTTATTACTGATTATTATGGATTATAAATGGAAGAATAGCTTTAGCAGAAAGCTTTTTCATTGTAAAAAATACAAAATAGGCTTTATGACAAAAACTCGCTAAATTCAACGATGTTAGTGCCAGGCAAAATTTATTCTCAAGTTGGACTACACGTTTCCATATGCACATCAGTAGAGACATGAAAATCTTATTTTCTCAGTTGAGTTTCTCTGTGTTATTCACGTTGGTAACTGACTTTTAGGTGCATGATAAACGAAGTTTTCTTCGTACGAACAAAGTTTCTCATTCCAAATACATTGTACGCGTATTTGTATGGTAAAGATAGGTATATAGAGTTGTTAGTTGAAAACTGCAATATTAATCAGATGTTTCGCTTCTAGGAGGACTTGGAACCTCGCGAGGATGCGGGACCGGCTCTCGTGGTACATGGTCTTCTTGATTCTGCCGACAATCCTTTTGGCCAGGTCGCTCGATAAAGGTGAGCAAAGAATAAGAACCTTTTTTCTTCTTGAAATAAGAATTAATATTTCGCAGATGATTCTCTTATTTTGTACATATATATAAAATAATTGAAATTCATGCATGGAAAGAATGGTTTTGCTAAAATACCTAAAAATTTAGCTAGACTTGAAAAATAATTTTATTTGGAATAAAAATAATTGTAGGATGCTTAAACTGGTTGCAAGAACGTTAAAATTTTTTTGTAGCATTGTAACCAACGTTTAATTCTACATAATTATTTTGATAGTCCAACAAAATTATTTTTAGATCTAGCTTTCATGAATACTTCAGCGAGATCATTTTTTTTTTCACTTTTTGTGATAGAAACACGAACATTTGCTTATTTATTTATTATGTACGCCTATATTGTTTACAAAAGCTAGAAAGCAAATTACATTGACTTACCTTAATGCATCCAATATATTTTTCATTTAATCATTCAAAATTGTACGAAAATAACAGTTGCATAAAATATTTTCCACATCATTAAGTTGCGTTAAAATCAGGTTTGAATATAAAATATATAATTATACTGATTAAAATAGAATTGCAAGGTCGTTTTATCATTGCTATTGTTGACATTAATATCTTTGTTATGCAGGAAAGATGAGAAATATCAATAATAATGAACACGTATACGTAAATTAAATGAAATAGGATATATATTTCATCACGTGAACGGCATGATAAAACATGGAGATATAGAGCTTAATAAATTCCTAGTGGCGTTGTATTGTTGAAAAATGCTAGGAGATGGCCCTTTCTGTGTATTGAATGATGGGGCATTATAATAGCTCGACTTCTGTTCATAAAGGGAGCCTTTTAAATTTTGTGAAATTATAGAATGCCGCTTATATATCGGGTGAAGTGAATAAAGCTTTCACTTTCAATTGACGCGGAAGTTCACGAGAATGCCTTTTCAACGTCCATGATAGACATCAATAATACTGCCTTACCGAATATAGCATAATTATAGTAATTTTTCAGAAATTTTTATGTTTATTTTCGAATGCTTTTTACGCTTTTATATATCGAAGAAAATTTAAAAAAGTCAGTAAAAAGATATTTCCTCGCGCGAGCGCAGTGCTCTTAACGTAAAAGCTCCTTAACGTTAATCGCAGGTGAAATTTGAATGAGGCGCTCGAAAAGTTAACGCTTGAATTTCGCGGTACAAGTCGCATTAAGGCGTATTACGTTCATAAAGTATTAATCGCATTTAAGAGAAGCAATATCGTGAGCAATCTTCTATAATTACTTCCTTGCCAATTATGCCGAGATAGAGTGTAAATGTATATTATTTTATATCGCGCTCCGATGCATTACTGCTTAAGATCGAAACGCCAATCTATTTTTTTCAGCCTTTGATATCAAACGTTTGCGTGCACATAATTATTTTAATTTAACGTTCATTTACCGACATTACAGCGCAATAAATGCATTTTTATCCACGTTACAATTAAAGCAAATTAAAATTCACGTTGTTAAAAAAGAAAGTAAAACAAAAAAAGAGATAACGGTATGCGAATATTTTTATTTATTCTTTGATAAATTGTGATGAAGTTAATTGTTCACATATCAAAAGATATAAAAAATTCTATTAATCATTCTTTTCGGTAAAAACTTGTGATAAATGAGATTAATTATGCACATATCAGAAATGTAAAAAATTTATTAATCATTATATTTGATAAAAACTTATTGCATTTCTTAATTCTCTAACATCTCTATTAGTTTAAGCATAAGCGTTAATATAAATATTTTTTTATATTTTGATTATATTCAGATTGTGGACTTACTTGCAAAATTATATCTAGATGCAATTTCCGAGAACTACATCGTGCTATAAATATGTAAAACTAAAAAGCATGCAATAAATATTTCTCTACTAAGACATTTGGTTTACCTTTGAAAATATACACTAACAATAAGACGCACTGAGTAAATGGTGCTAGATAATTTTTTACGCATGATAAATGTGCCGACATTCAAAAGAAGGCTTGTAGAAAGTAAGAGAGTCCACGATAAAGATGTGCCGGCATGCAAGCCCCGGATAATCCTGGAAAACACTTGTAGATAGAAGGCGAAATAGAAAACCCGCAGCTAAAAATTTTATTCTCTGCCGTTTACTTCTCTAGGAAAAATAACTTGCCGTGCGGTGGTAGGCGGATATATATTCGTCTTGAGAGAAATCCTTTTTAGCGCGCGAAACCGTCTTGCTGGTTTACCCGTTTGCGCATATGCCCGTGTGCACATCAAACATCGAATTTCCAAGCGAAACGGAGAAGCAAAAATACAAAAATGAAAATGTCATGCACAAAAAAATTGAAGTCATAGACCAGCGCTTGCTTGAAAGTATCCATAATACAACTTAAGTATCCATAATACAACGTACTTTAAATTTTTACAGAAACTAGGACATGCTTTGGAGAAACTAACACATAAAATTATATTGAATCAATGGTAGTTTTGTTATTTTTTAAAATAAATCTAAAAATAATTTTGTTGGAATATCGAAATACTTACGCTCAAGTTGATTGCTGGAAAGTCAAAACTTACGCTCAAGTTGATTGCTGGAATGTCAAAACTTTTTGAGGTATTATTCATTTTACTTGAGTTACTCACAATTATTTCGATAATATGATAAAATAATGTATAACGATATTATAATATCATATGTGAAAAGAATGATTTTACTGAAATACATTGTTAGAAATGTTTGTGAATTTACCCTTACAATAAAAACGTGCAGTAAATTTACAAATCATATAACGTTTTGCTGTGCTTCACAATATTTGCAAATTTACAATAGAAATTTGCTGTGAATTTACAAAATTGGCGCGCCACGCGTGCGCATTAAAGATTTGCGTATATTTCACCACAAAATGTTTGCAATTTCACAATGTAGCTTAGTTTAAACTATGTAGTTTAAATTTAAAGTACATTTTTGTTGGATAAAAATTGCCAACACTTGAAAATTTACAACAAAAGTTTCTTATACAATGTATCTAAAAATTCAGTTAAAAGCAGACTTAAAAATAATTTTATTGGACCATCAAAATAATTGTATAGGTAACTCAAGCAAAATGAATAATACTGGAAAAAGTTTTGATATTCTAGCAATCAACTTGAGTATCCCACACAATTATTTCAATAGTCTAATAAAATTATTTTCAGATCTCTATCTAACTTTTTAGCTACTTCAGTAAACTGTAGTACTACTGTACTTTCCATGTACATACATCCGCAAACGGCACTTGGAATTTTGTTAGTCGATGAAACTTTTCACAGACAAAAAATGCGAGACAAAGGAGAGAAAATACAGATATCCATGCATATCGAAGCGTTTAACAGACACCTGTTATACATAAACATGACGAAAGTGCTTCTAATTAAAATTCTCGGCATTACTCGGCGAGTTTTCAAGTGCAACAAGAATCGCTCGTTTATTCCGAACTCACGCGTGCATGCTTGTACACACGTACGACCATCGTGCGAGTCATTAGCGGTGAGAGAAAGAGGAAGTCTGGAAGCGTACGAGAAAGCTCGACAGTGAAAATATGGAAATATGTGAAAGATACGTGCGCAAAAATAGCGTGATGCATTTTCCAGTCTACCGCTCGTTAAGTTACGGTGACTGAAGTGAGATTTTCATCAATGCGCCGCGTTGAAGCTACATCAGAAAAAAAGAAGTGCAGACTCGCTTAATCAGCCGCTACTGATGAGGGAAAGAAACACCGCCGGGATATGATAAGAAAAAACATGTGCGAAACAGTAATACAGAACAAATATGCTCAAACGTGTAAAAAAATGTCTTTTGGTTAGTTAACGAATGATAAAAACAAAGCAACACGAAAGATTCGTAAAAATGATGAAGGGACATTTTCATGAAGAAAAGAAAACATACGTGGTACTTTGAATATTATATTAGATATAGTGATAGCCCTATGTCACATAGAAACGACCATAAAAACGACAGAAATAAATTTAGAAGATATACTATTTCTGGTTCTTCTATTCTCTTTCTTTATTCAAACGCTTTGTGTACAAAAATTTTTATTAATGTATGTATATTGTCATGGCATGCTTACAGACGGAGAAAAGAGAAAATAAAAATGCATGTATAGTATTTTTTAAAGATGTTTTAGAATGTCGCAGTAGTTCCATTTATAAATATTGTTTTGCAAAGAAGAAAAAGAGAAAGTAGGAAGAATGAAGGAAAACTAATCTCATAATCGTAGATAACGAATTATTAATCATTGTGTATTTTGTGCCAAATTATTATTCTTTTCGTACAAGCAAAAATACATCAAGTTCATGAATATATGAGAAAGGACAGAACGTGCTTTTAAACGAAAACATTCTGTTGTTCAAATAACACATGAACGCAGATAGTATTGTTGTACTGCTAGACCTGAGTTGTTAGTCAGAGAGAACCAGGAAAACTGGGAAAAATTATGGAATTAAGAAATTTATTAATCTAAAGATAAAATTAAATTACTGTAACACTAATTCTAAATTTAAACTTCATTTCTTAAAAATATTAAAATATTAAAATGTTTTTAATTATTTAAAGAAACATTGTAAATATTTTTTTATGATTTTTTAGTTTTGTAGTGAATGATTAGAAAGCCATTAACAGATAAAATTAAAAAAAAAATTATAATATCTTCACTTTGCAGAATCGAGATATATGTTAATGACATTTCATAAATTACTCGCAGTAGCAATATTATACAAAATATTTACATTTTTTAGTAGTCGTGCATTTTTTAAACGCGGAAGGATTTATTACGAGAGATGTTTTCAAAATTATGTAGTTTTAAGATAAAAATTTCTAATTAAGTTGATAATTAGAATTATAGTGTTTTAAGAAGGTTAAATCTTAATAAGCAATTAATGTATACACATACAAAAGAAAGATTTAATGAAATAAATTAAAAATGAAGAAACTTAAAATTATATCTGACAAGAATTCAA